CCTTTTTGCTCTCCCTGCTCCAAGCACAGCCAGAAAAGCTTTCCCTCCCTCCTGATGGAATTTTTCCCAAGCCAGCCTGGGGATTTTGCCCTTCCCGGTGCTCAGGTGACTCTGGATCAGGTGCTGACGTTCAGTGACAGCCAGAGGAGAGCTCAGATTTCTCTGGGTGAGGCCGGAGCCGCTCCAGATTTAGAGCTGGGATCAGGATCTGAGTGGTCCCAGGAATTTTGCTGCTGAGCCGAGGTCACTCCTCAGGCAGGGAAGGGACAAAATTCCTTGGAGGAACCTGGGAAAGGCTGGGAAAAGCTTTTTTCCTAGGTTTTTTTTGAGCTGCCTTTTGTCTCTCAAGAGCAGGATCTGCAGAGCTGGCAGATCCTTCTGCTGCAAACAAAATGCATCAAGGAGGTTTTTCCCATTTTTTGGGGGAAGGTTTCTCAGGGGAAGGCTGGAATTTCTCACCCAAAGTGAGGGAGGGAGGACAAAATGATCCTCAGATTGTTCCCTGTGGGGTGACAGCTCTGAGCCCATTTCTTCTCTAGCAAGTCCCACCTGAGCCTGGATCTTTCCCACTCATTCCTCAGGTTTAATTTGCTTCAGAGCTGAAACAAGAGAAAATTCCTTTCTTTTTTTAACAAGAAAGAAAGGAAAAACTGGAAAATTGGAGTTGTTCTCCTCCAGTTCTATCCCAACAGCAGCAGCACCACAATGTCCACTTCAAAGGTGTCACCTGAGCCACACCTGAGCTGAGACCTCAAGCAGGAAAATCATCAGCAGGGCTCTCAAAATGCCCCTGGGGATGCTAAAAATTGCCCCCAGTTACTCTGTGGGCTGCTAAAATTCAGCATAATTGCCTTAATTACACCTAATGACACTTGGGCTATGCAAAGAAAGGCAGCACACGTGGGATAAAAAAGGCTCTGACCACATCTGGCCCAAGGTGGGAAGCTCCTGCTGGCCCCACTCGGCCTCCTGCTCCTTCCCCTGCCCAGCAGGTTCCCAGCTCCCAGATAAGATGAAAGCCCTGGGGGTGATCCTCACTTTTGGATCTCTCCAGGTTGGGATAAAGGGATTTTCCAGCCAGGCAGCGTCTCCCAGTGTCCCTGTCCTTCAGCTGGGGCTGTCCCAGCTGAGCCAACTCCACCTCCTGGCTCTCTAATCTGATTTTTCCCTGCTGATTTCTTTATTTTCCACTGATTTCTTTATTTACTTCTGATTTATTCATTTTTAAGAGCAGGGCCTGCCTTATCTCCCTGCCACCCACATGAAAGGAGGGACTTTGCAGCCAGGTCAGGGAGTGTGTGCAGGGAAAGGTGTTTCACTGTGGATTTGGGGTTTTCCCAGGAGCTCAGGAGGAGTCAGGTGGGGATTTGTCTGGCTTGGAGGCCTGTTGGAAAGTGTTCAAATTGCCAAATATTTGTGCTTTTGTGTAAAATTTATTTGGGACAACACATCACTGCCAGCTCTGGGCTTATCCCCCATTTTTGTCCCCCTTTTTTTTCTATCCCTCTTTTTTATCCCTCTTTTTCTATCCTGTTTTAATCCCCCTTTATTTTTACCCCCCTTTATTTTTAGCCCCCTTTTTTTGTTCCCCTCTTTTTTATTCTACTTTTTTATCTCCCTCTTTTTTTATCCCCCTTTTTTTTATCCCCATTTATTTTTTATCCCCATTAATTTTTATTCCTGTTTATTTTTCATCCCTTTTTAATCCCCATTTATTTTTACCTCCCTTTTTATCCCCCTTTATTTTTTATCCCCTTTTTAATCCTCCTTTTTTAGCTCCCTTTATTTTTTATCCCCCTTTTTTACCCCCATTTTTTAACCCCCCTTTTTTTTATCCCTCTTTTTTTATTAATCCCCTTTTCCCAGACATTTGAAACCCACAATTCTCCTTTGCTCCTCCACCTCTTTCCCTCCACAAACCTTTTGAACCCCCCCAAAAGCGCCCCAGTTCCGCCTCAGGACTCGAAGCTCCCAAATTCTGTGGGAGCCAAAGGATCTTTTCCCTTTCCAAAGGGGCCACAGCTGCTTTGGAGAGGCTGCAATGAGGGGAAAAAGCAAATTTCAAAAGGACTCCGGCAAAGAATTCCACCCTCAGCAGCGAAACAACGCTTCCTAAAGAGAAAGGAAAACATTGTGCTGGAGCAGAGAGGAAAAAAAAAAAAAACCAAGCCTGGAGTGTTTATCACTGGAGTGCTGAATTCCTGACAGAGCCCAGCTGTTCCCAAATCCCTTTGCTCCCAAAAAAGGGCCGCGCTTCCCTTGCCGGAGCCTGACGTGGTCCTGTGGACGTCAGTGGGAGCAGCGGGAAGCTCCAAAACAAGTGACGTGGGAGCCCAACCCTCCCACGGAGGGCACTGGAGCACAGCCACGCTTCCAAAGATGGAGATCCCAGCAGGATTCCGGCACTGGGAGAGCCTCTGGAGCCCCGGGAATGGCAGGGCTTCTGCTGGAGATTCTCCTGGTTTTGTGGGGCTTGGCAGCAGAGTGAGGCGAGAGGAACGTTCAGGAAGAGGGGCTGGATCCAGCTTGGAAGTGAGGAAGGAGCGGGAGAGATTCAGTTCCAATCTTTTGATGCAAAAGATCCAAATCCAATCTTTCCTGGCAGAAAATAGGGAATTGTCAGCGGGAAAACATGGTCCTGTTCCGTGTCCCAGATATGGATGGGACCAGGGCGTGTTTGCTCCCCTGTGGGTGAAATAAAGGACCAGGAAATAGAAGGGAAATCCTTTCCCTGGGTCTGATCCATGAGGGAAAATGTTGGCTCTTCCAAAAAAATATTATACAAAAATTCCCACTTCCTTCTGCCCCTCCCCAGCCCTGGGAGCCTCCCTGGGTGCTCCCAGAGCAGCCCCACAGTGAAAACCAGGAATTTCAGATGAATCCCAGGGCAATTCCCTCCCTCTGGCTTCCCCACTCCCGGATTCCCACACCCGGATCCCGCTGCTCCCAGCCCGGGGTGCTGGCGGTACTTGGGAGTTTCTTTGAGGAATTTCACTTTTATTCCTTTCAACTCCTGGGCCTGCTGGGGTTTTCTCTCCTGGATCCAATATTCCAGGGTGTTTTTTTAATCAATCTGCTCCAGGTGACCCCAGGAATCCCAGACTGGGTTGGGAAGGACCCAAAAGTCCTGGGACAGGAAGCTCCTGGATCCATGAGCTCACGGAAGGAAAGGCTCTTCCAGAGAGCCTCTGGATCATTTCCAGATCCTTCTCCAGCTCCATTCCCTTGAGGGGCCCAACACTGAACACAGGATCGGAATTTTGTGGCCCTGTGAACTCCTCACACCCTCAAAAGCCATAATCCCCCAACCATCCCCCTCAAAATATTCCAAATTTCTGGCTTCATTCCTTAATTTTCAGCCAAGTTTTTAGGCTCTCCCCGCTCTGCTGACCTAGCCACTGGTGAGGGAACGGGATATTCTGTCCCAAAAAACCTTGAGGGGGATAAAAGGGTGGGACATTAAACCAAATCCAGCAAGATTTGGAAGGAAAATGTTTTCTTATTTCTAACCAGGGCTGAGTGGCTGCCACAGCGTGGGGACAGAGATAATGGCCCTGCCCAAATTAAGGTCACATTAAACCCCGCTCAGGAAAGCTGAACTGGGGGCTCAGCCTGACTCCAGAGCTATTTTAAGCCTGGGGAGGTTGAAGGGCACCTCCTCCAGCAGGGAATGTTTTATTTAAAGGCTATTTGGTTGCTCAAGCCGGGCCCTAAATATTATTAAATTATCCCAAATCCTTTATTTTAACATAGCAAGAATTTATAGACGGGAATGAGAGGAGTTCACACCCTGGGCTGGGGGGACGTGGTGATCCACACCCGTTTTTAGACCCTTTTATTTTATTTTCCTGTTTGTTTTCCCTTTTTGCAGCGTTGGAAACGCGGGATCAGCGGGGTTGTCTCAGCAACAGTTGCCTCGATGCCGCTGTAAATGTTTAATGGGAAGCTGAGCCACCTTCCCTGCCCAGATGGCTCCGGTTCTGGAGCTGGGGAACACGGATTAACGGGGAACAGGCAGATGTTGCCTCACCAGAAGGGTTTAAGCTGTAATTAGATGAGCTGGGATGGGGCTGTGGGGGCAGAGCATCCTCGGAAGGGTTCAGGGGGACACGGGAGGAGCTTCCGAGGTCCTGGTGAGGTCTGAACCTCCAAAAATGCCGGGATGAAATGCAGGGTGCCGTCCCCAAATCCCTGTGCTGGCGGATGGATTAACCCCCAGCTCTCCCAGTTTGTCCCAGCTCCCAGTCCAGGGCATCCCTGGCAGATGATGGGAATTGTCAGGATGGGAAACGGGTCCTGTTCCGTGGTGGGAGCTGCCGTGTGGAATCCTGGCTGGAAGCACTTCAGGATCTGCCTGGTTCTGATGTTTTTTTCCCCAAAATAACAGCTGATATTAATTCAGGCTGGGAGACACGTTACCAATCCTAAATGGATTTTGGGAGATTACACACTTTAATAAATCCAATTTTTAAGAGATCAAGCTATATATAAAAAAATAATAAAAGAATTGATGCAACATAAGGCCCAAAAAAAAAATAAAGGAAAATCCAGTGAAAAGAAGGTCCAGTTATCCATAAAATATTTCCTGAGACAAAACAACACCCATGTGCCTGCTCATTCATATAAATCCAGCATTTCTGGAGTTCTTTTTCCCACCTGTGCTGTGCATGGAGATGTTTATATGCAGGGAAGCGATTTGGGAATCTGTCTGAAGGCCTGGAAAGGCAGGAAATAACGTTGGGATTGATTTGGGGATAGGTGGAAGGATCTGCAGCCCATTCCCAGGAGCTCCCTGGAGTTCAGCACCTGCGGGGAAGTGGATGCTGAGCTCCAGGGAATGTCAGGGAGATGCCAGCAGAGCAGAGCCAGGGTTATTTGGGGAACAGGACGGTCAGAAATCGAGCTGGAGCCGTTTCACAATGCCAGAGAGGCTCGGGATTTGTTTACAGAGCCCGATGACGGCGGCTCAGCGCCGAGGGAAAATGAGGAATGATGCAAGACGGCAGGAATGGACAGTGGGAGACGGCAGCATGGAATCCTCACGGAAAAAAACTCTTCTGAGTGCTCATAAAACACCCCCGGGGACAAGAGGTGAGCAAACGACCCTGGAGGAGAGGCAGGGGGGAATGGCTGCAGCGTTTCGTAATCGGGGTGAGTCAGACTTGGTATTTCTGGGAATGAGGGAGGCAGGAATCTCCCCCGGGAGCAGGGGAGGGCTGGTGGCTGAAAATCAGCGCTTGATTCTTCCATGAGCTGTGGAGAGAAGGGAAATCGAATGCCAGGGGAGGACAGGAGCAGAGGAATGAGGAGCTGGGATTGGGGGAAACAGCTTGAAAATGGAGCTCTTTCCACAGAGCTGGGAGAGAGGAGCTTTCCGGGCTGTCCCAAACAGCAGGAATGGCCTGAACTTCATGGATCTCCTGACCAAGGCCTTTGGGAGTTCTGACCAAGACCTGTTTCCTTTGAGAGGAGGGAATTTGAAGATTTTTAAAACTTTCTTGCCATGAATCTGACCCAAACCAGCTGCCAGGTATTTGCTGTGCATGGAGAGAGCGTGTGGAGGTGGAATCCCTGTCCCTGGAGGTGTCCGAGGAGCTCCTGGGCCGGTGACAAGGTGGGGATTGGGCACAGCTTGGACTCCATGATCCTGGAGGGCTTTTCCAACCTCAAAGATTTTGGGATTCTATTGCTGTACCTCAGGTGATGATGCTGGACCTTCATCCAGGGCTTCCCACAGGATGGATCTCATGGCAGCCATCCCAAATGTTCCGTTTGGAAAAAGAAGAAGAAATTTGGACCAGGCCAGCTCCCAAATCCCTCTCCTGAGGCAGCTGAGTAGATTCCAGCCCTGCCAGCATTCCAGTCACCTCCTTGCCCCTGTTCCAGGAGCTCCAGCAGCTCCGTGTGCACCCAGGGAAGGACGGACACGCGCTGGGGTGACGCGATGGGACATCTGAGATGGCCAAAAAGGACGAGTTTATCTCTGCCAAGGCTCTGGGGTGCTCTGCTGTATGGAATGGGATTCCTGGGTGTGGAAATAAATGGATTAATGCTTCACCAGGCATTCTGGCAGGCTTGGGTGAGGTTTTGGGTGGATGTGTTTAATAATTCCTGTTTAACCCTAAACCAGTCATGTCTTGGAGAGGGACTTTGGACAAGGGGAATGGCCTGAGGATGAAGGAGGGCAGGGTTAGATAGGATATAAGGGAGAAATTCCTCCCTGTGAGGGTAGGAAAGCCCTGGAATAGAATTCCAGAGAAGCTGCGGCTGCCCCTGGATACATGGAAGTGTCCAAGGCCAGGTTGGAGAACCCTGGGATAGTGGGAAGTGTCCCTGCCATAGCAGGGGTGGAATGGGATGAGCTTTAAGGTCCCTTCTAACCCAACCCAGTCGAGGATTCCATGATTCCACATCTCCCACAGGCTTTAAAACCCTGGAGAAACAAACTGCCTTTATCCTGGCTTTTTTTACCTATGGCGAGGACAAACTGCTCCATTTCCGTAAAAAACTGCTACAAAATTCCTCTTCACTTCCAATCTCGATTTGTGATTAACAACTCAGCTCTCTGGCCTGCAACCGCTTTTCCTCTCCCAATGTTGCCGGAAGACTCCTGGGAAATCCCTCCAAGCCTGGGAAGAAGAGCAGGCAACATTGACACCTGCTGTCGGGAATTTTAATAGCCACACACTCCAGCAGAGCCAAGAGCATGAAAACAGCCGATAAAAACCCAAGTGGAAACAAGGAGGATTGCTTGCGGAAAGCTTTATTTAATCATCATTATTGCACACAATTAAATCCGACGGACGGATTGGCTGGAAAAGGGTTGGGATCACTGGGGCCAGTTGCAGCAGGTGCAGAGGGGGTCGAAGACCAGCCCTGGCTCGCAGCTCTGCAGGAAGGTCTGCCCGTTCAGGCAGCTGTAGAAGTTCCTGTTGTTCTCGGGGTCTGCGTAGATCCCGTTGGGTTTCCCGGCGCAGAAGCCGGAGCCGCCGCTGCCGCCGCTGGTGGTGGTGGTGGTGGGAGCCTCGGTGATGGGAGGAAGGGGCTCAGCAGGGGGAACGCAGTCTGGAATTCAAGAATTCAATTAGGAAAAGGTTTATTTTCATGTTCCCGGTGTTTCATCCCTCCCACGCCTCCGTAGGAAGTTTGGGAGTCTCCATGACGGAGCTGCTCCTGCTGGAGGTGGTGGGAGCCTCGGGGATGGAGGCTCAGTGGGGGGAACGCAGTCTGGAATTCAGGAAAGGGTTGGAAGTGTTTCATCCCTCCCACACCTCCATAGGAATTTCGGGAGTCTCCACCAAGGAGCTGCTCCCGTTCTCCTGGAGCCACTCACCGCCGTTCTGCAGCCCCAGGCCCTTCTTCAGGGTGGAGATCAGGGGGTATTTGCCCTCGTGGCAGAAGGTGCCAGTGAAGTCATCCATGTCCAGGGCCCACACCATGGCACCTCCAAAGTTGTTCTTCTTCAGCCAGTCCACCTGTGGGGAGGAAAATCCCGGTGAGCCCCAGGAACTGATCCCACAGGAGGCTCCAGCCTCGTCCCAGCACGGCCCCACTGCCCCAGACCTTGAGGCCGAAGCTCTTGACGTTGTCGTAGCCGACCCATTCGCTGCCCTTGTAGGCGTAGGGAACATCCTGGGGTTCATCCCAAGCCTGGGTGGCTCCAGAACTCAGGAGACTGCAGATCTAAGGAGAAGGAAGCAGGAATGTTATCCACAAAAAGGGAAAAGCCCAGGCTCTGCCCTTGCCTTGGCTTGATCTTCTGGTTTTGTGCTGCTTCCCTGTTCCCTGAGTACACAGCTCCTTCCTAGCTATTCCATGGATAGCTTTGTGTCTGAGCCATGCAGAAAACTCCATGGGAGCTTCCCAAAAAATTCCCTCAAATGATTTGGGAACGGAATGTGATGGGAACATCCATACCTCGTAGTAAGCCAGAGTTCCGGCCTCCCTGGTGTAGGGCCCAGCGGGGCCAGGGCCAGATGCTGGAGCTCCAACGGAGGTGTCGGATGGGTTCTGCAGGGTGAAGCTCTTTCCGTAGGTTGGGAATCCCACCAGGAGCTTCTCAGCTGGGGCACCGTTGCTCTTCCAATAATTCATGGCGTATTCCTGCAAGAAACCATTCCCGCTCGAGTCTCTGTAGGATGAATTCCTCGAAATCTCCTCGTGGCAGCCACCAAGGATCTGAGACCTGTGAGTGTCCCACAGAAACACTCACAACGTTGAAGTATTTGTAGTCGCCGGTGTCAGCAGGGCCGGCGAACAGGGGGCTGTTCTCGCCAGTGTTCCTCTCCCAGGATCCGTGGAAGTCGTAGGTCATCACATGGATGTAATCCAGGTACCTGCAGGAGCGGGGGCTGTGTCCTCACCTGAGGCACCGGAGCTGAGGCTGCCCGTGGGGCTTCCTCAAGGGCTCTTTCACTTCAGCACTCCCAGGAAATCCCTCAAGTCCCACCAGGGACCCCAGACTTTGCCACTCACTTGCCCAGCTCAGCAATCTCGTAGCCAGCCTGGATGGTGGAAAGTCCAGCAGCAACAGCGGCGGTGACCATGAGCCGGGGCTGGTTGGTCTGTTTGGCTTCCTTCTCGAAGGCTTCCAGCATTTCCTGAGGGATCCAGGGGACAGCGGTCACCTGGGGGCTCTGGGATGGGGCTTTGCAGCCACCCAGGGCTCACAGGCCAGAGCCAAGCCCACCTTAACCAGGACGGTGAAGAGAGCCTTGTCCTGGGCGGGGCTGCCCCTGGAGCCGGGGTATTCCCAGTCCAGGTCCAGCCCGTCAAACTGGTACTGGCGCAGGAATTTGATGACGGAGTTGATGAAGGTCTGGCGGTTCTGGGGTGTGGAGACCATGGTGGTGAACCTGGGCAAGCAGAGCAGGAGAGAGGTGGGGCTTCCATTCAGCCCCATCCTCCTCTCATTCTTTTCCAAGGCTTAGGGTAGGACATGGTTTAAACTCACTTCTGTGTGCCGAAATTCCATCCTCCAATGGCCAGCAGGGTCTTCAGATCTTTGTTCCTGCAGGGGAAGAGGCAGAACCGAGAGTTATTGCATGTCCACAGCGCCCAGAGCCACTGTCCCCAGCTCAGGGGACGGGGCTGTCCCCCTGCCCCAGAGGGAGCAGCAGCCCTGCCCGAGGCTCCCGGCACTCACTGGTTCTTGAGGCCATTGAAGGACTTGTACAGGGTCTCGTCGTTCCACTCGTAGGTGGTGATCTCATTGTTGTTCATGCCGGCAAAGGCGTAGATCAGGTGGTTGCACAAGCAGGGGTCGACATTTTCGGGGGTGTACTTACCCAGGCCAGGCCGGTACTGGGCCCAGTTGGTGAAGTAACAGGTCAGCACATAGGCAGTGCCTGTGGGGAGACACCGGCCATGGAGGGGCCTGCAGTGCCCTGGGCACAGCCCGGCCCCTCGGGCACAGCATCCCCGCGCTGCTGCCGGGGCAGGCCGGGCCAGGCTCCCTGCCTGGGCCGGGAGCTCAGGGCAAGGCCAGCGGGGCTGGGGATCCCTCGCTCACTGCCGGGCTCCCCGCCACCGCCCCGGACTCGGCGCCTTCCTCCTCTGGCCCTGCCGAGGGCTCGGTCCCGGAGCCTCCGCTGCCCTTCAGCTCCTGCCCCGGGCTCGCTGCCCCACACGGGCCCTTCCTGCCCGGGAGGCAGCGCGGAGCCAGCGAGCAGCTCCTGCACGAGCAGCTGCTCCAGGGGAGCAGCACCTACCGAGCTGGGCGTTCAGCAGCAGCGCCAGGCCTGCCAGGGCACAAGGAAACAACACCGGGGTCACTGCTCGCTCTTAGAAACGCAAAGCTCTTCTGCAAGACTCTGCTCCCAAGCTGGGGCAGGTGAGCTTTTCTAGAGAGGAGGCTAAAATTTGTCCAAGCATTTCCAGTAAAATTTGACAAATTATTTCAGGCAATAGCATAGGAAGGAACCCAAAGAGATGCCAAAGCAGTCATTTCATTTTCAGATTCAAGTTTGAAAGCACATTCCATTTGCAGCCTGCAATGAACTCTGTCCATGTTCAAAGCACAACAGATCCCCAACTGCAGCAGCACTAAAGAAGAGAAACCTCCCTCCCCAAAGGAAATTGTGAAACCCGTGACAGAGAAGAGAGAGCAGCAGTTCTGTCCCCCCACCCCCCTGCACCAGCAGCAGAGTGAGGTGCCAGAGCCTGCAGCCCTGGCCAGGAGGGCAGAGAGCTCCAGTTTGCAGCGGCACTCACCGGTGAGCAGAGTGAGCTTGGCCATCTTGGACCAGACTGATGTGCTCAGCCTCTCTCCTGCTTTTATACCCTGCTCCTCTCTGCTGCCAATAGGGCAACAACAGTGATTGACAAACATTACGAAATTTGGCAGAGAGCCGTGTCACCAAATGTGACTCCAGAACAATGGGGCTGAGCACCCCAGCTGGAGGTGTCACTGGTGTAGGGCTGTGCCGTGCCCTGGTGCTGCAAGGGCAGATAATGAACGGGATTAGATTGCTTTGATTGTTCCAAGTGTTGTTTCCATGTTTGTGTCACCTCTGGCAGCCCCACAGGCACCGATGGCTGAAGTGTGTGACCTTGAGCCCTTCCCCAGGGGGTGGCACTGCCAAAGCCGAGCTTTGGGCTTTGCTAGGCTCGGGTGTCCTTGGTGGGACCGTCCCCAGGCAGGGCTGAGCGGGGCTGTGGTGGAGCACTGGGAATGTTGGAGGCTGTGGGATCTGGGCTGGGACAGAGGGACCTTGGTGGGCTGAGCTGTGTCTTGCCCTCCCAGCTGAGGTGGGCTCACATCAGGGGAGCAGTGGAAGTTCCTTTATTTCTTGGAGGTTAAACTCTACAATGGACACCCCCAAAGATGGGGCAGGTGGATTTCCCTCTGACATTTATCCCCGTCTCTTCCCGCTCAGCTCTTTCCCAAACAGACACAGCCATGTTGCCCACCATTCCCATTTTTCCTTATGTGAATCTCCATCAGGGAAATGCCTCAAAATATTCTTCCCACATTTTTATTTTCATCCTCTGTCCAGGTGGAGACTCCAAGCTCTCACCCTGTGTCAGGAGACTGGGGATTTCTTCCCTTTTCCCTGCTCAGGAGGGGGGACACGGCTGTGTCCCTGCACTGGGATGTTTAATTCCTTTTGGGATGATGTGAAGGTGACTTTCCAGGAGGTCACCCAGCCTTGGATGTATGGAAGCCTGGAAAACAGGCTGGTATCAGATGCTGGCTGAGCTACAGATTAAAATGTGCCAGCCTGAGCCTGTGGGGTTTGGTGCAGGCACGGGGTGGGATACGGCTGATAACAGGACAACATCCTCAAGGAGTATTTTTCCAATGTTTTTCTTGGTTGATAAAGTCCCAGGGTACAAATTCAACCAGGATAGATCTGGAAAATCCCACCCTCAGTGACCTCTGGAACGTTTTCAGCTCTGTTATCCATGAAGGTGTTTTGGTGTGGTAAGGAGAGCGTTTGGGGCAGGCTCAAGGACATTGATTTGTCTTCATGTTGGGGTAACAAACTCAGATCCCGGAGTTTTCTTTCAGGATTTTTCCTTCTGGACTTTTTCCACCCTTTTGCTTTTATAAAAGTGGTTTGCCATGGGTTCCCTGGGGGTGGTGGGAGTTAAAAGAGGGCATGAGAATTGGTCCTTGCTGAAAGAATTCCAATTTAAAAGAGCAGACAGTCACCTTCCAACTATTCCAGCGTTGGGTTGCAGAGAGATTCCACCACTCTGGGCTTTTCCTGCTGCATCTTCCCTCTAAAACTCTCATCCCACTGATTCCATGGCTGTTGGGATGGAGCCTGTCCATCCTTCTGCTCTTTCCTGACGGCTCATGGAGATCAGATCCTGATATTCCTGTTGTGCCCAGCTCAGCAGTGCTCAGGTGCTCCTTCCAGGATGATTCCTTTAAACTTTCTCCTCCTTTTTGTCCTGGAGGTTTGGCGGATTCAGGGATGGCACCGGCACAGCCAGAGGTGTTTCTGACAGGAAAAATCCCCAAAACCTGCTGTTTTTCCCAAACGCCTCATCCATTCCAGCCCTGCTGACCTTGCTGTGTCTGAGCCATCCCTTCAGGAAGGGTGTTTGGCTCTCCCTGCCCTGGCTGGCGAGGTCCCCATGGAAAACTCCACGGGGACAAACGGAAAGGTCATTGGAATGTTGCCGTGTCCTTTGGAAAACACTGGCCCGTCCCTAATGGGGATGCAGGGATGCAGATCCCGGGCTCCTGGAACAGGGACAGCGGGGCTGGCTGCTCCCAGAGGGATTTGTGCCCATGACAGGCAGGTGGGTAAGTCCTCGGGATAGCCGAGATCCAGCCCGGGATTCCCACATGGAGCAAAGGCACCGCTGGGTTTGGATGTGAGGAGCTGGATGAGTTTGCCAAGGAAAACTTCAGGAAAGCCAGGACTGCTTTGGGGCACGTCTGGTGACGTGACAACAACCACAGGGACAATCTGCCCCAGGATGGTTTGATTTTTGGGAATAAAAATAAAAATTTTTTGGAATTTTCCTGTGGGGATTTATTAAAAAAATAAGTCTGCATATTTATTTATCTGATTATTTTTTATCTTCATATACATATTTATTTCTTTTTATTTATATGCACAAACATAATTATTTCTATACATGTTTATTTCTATTTCTCTGCCCATGGATATTTCTGTTTATCTCCATATATTTATTTACTTCTATTTATCTGCCTATTTATATTTATATTTATCTGCATGTATATATTTATTTCTATTTGTCTGCATATCCATATGAATTTATTTAAATTTATGCATATCCATATATATTTATTTAAATGTATGCATACCCCTATCTATTTAATTTAATTTATCCATACACACATATATTTATTTAAATTTATCCATATCTATATATATTTATGGCCTATACCATCTGAGCCACCAGGCCCTGGGCTCAGCGCTGGGATTTCCCTGCCCTTGGCTGAGGGCTCCAGGATTCCCCTGGAGATGGATCCGTGTTTCCCTGTGTGCCAGGAGCACCTCAGAGCCTCCAGCATTCCCAGCTCCCTCCCTGCTCCTGGAAGAAACCATCCACGGAGAGCAGATCCAAGGTGGGGCAGCTGAGCTGGGAGATTCCCGAGGGATTTTCCTGCAGATCCAAGGTGGGGCAGCTGAGCTGGGAGATTCCCAAGGGATTTTCCTGCAGATCCAAGGTGGGGCAGCTGAGCTGGGAGATTCCCAAGGGATTTTCCTGCAGCTCCCAGGAGCTGAGCTGGACGCTGGCTGTGTCCCAGGGTCCCCAAGGGTGGCTGCAGCACCTGGAGGGATCCGTGGGGCTGGAATGCTGCACCTGGGATGGAAACTGGGAGTCTGTGGTGGGAACAGCCTCTGGCTCTGATGCTTTTCTTCCCTGTGGGAATGCCTGGGTTGCTGCTGCTGCTGTCACAAAGCTCTCCCTGCTCTGTGGTGGCTTTTCCAGGGAATATCTGAGGCTCCTTTCCAGACAGGTAAAAGCAGAAGCCACTTGTTGGCATTTTGAAGACTCCAAGTCTGCAATTCCACCCTCAGGCTGCTGGATTGGGACAGGACTGGACTTTTGGGGCTCCAGGACACATCAGGAGTCTGTGGCGGGTTGGGATGTGCTCAGCCAAACCATTCCTGAAGGGAGGAATTCCTACAGCTACCTGTGAGCCAGAGCAGCAGGGCTGGGGAGTTCTGAGCCCAGCCAGGAGGGCAGAGAGCTCCACTGGTGAGCAGAGTGAGCTTGGCCATCTTGGACCAGACTGATGTGCTCAGCCTCTCTCCCACTTTGATATCCTTCCCCATTCTCCTGCCAGTCTGACATCAACAGCAATGCACAAATATTATTAAATTGGCAAAGATCCTGTCACCAAACCGACTCCAGGACAATGGGGCTGAGCACCCAGCTGGAGGTGTCACTGCTGTGGGGCCGTGCCAAATCCAGGTGCTGCAAGGGCAGATAAAAAATGGAATTCTATTTCTTTGATTGTTCAGATGTTGTTTTTAACAACAGCTTTGTGTTCCTGCTGGTGACAGCGCAGGGACCGATGGCTGAAGTGTGACCTTGTGCTGCCCTTGAGTCCTTCCGGAGATGCAGGCACTACCAAAGCACAGCTGTGGCACAAGGGATTGGTCTCCTTGGGTTGATGGAAACAAAGTGAATCAGAATCAGCTTCCACTGCGTTGTCCTCCCACTTGTTCTTGTGACCATGGGTGTCAGGAGATCAGGGAAAGATGACAAAAACAACCCTTCTTATGGAAAAGTTTTTCTTTATCAGGTGGAGAATGACTCAGTGAAAAACAATCTGGTTTTTCTTTGGTGGTGGGATGCCTCCTGTCTGCTTCCCTGATGTGAGCCCACCTCAGCTGGGAGGGCAAGACACAGCTCAGCCCACCAAGGTCCCTCTGTCCCAGCCCAGATCCCACAGCCTCCAACATTCCCAGTGCTCCACCACAGCCCCGCTCAGCCCTGCCTGGGGACGGTCCCACCAAGGACACCCGAGCCTAGCAAAGCCCAAAGCTCGGCTTTGGCAGTGCCACCCCCTGGGGAAGGGCTCAAGGTCACACACTTCAGCCATCGGTGCCTGTGGGGCTGCCAGAGGTGACACAAACATGGAAACAACACTTGGAACAATCAAAGCAATCTAATCCCGTTCATTATCTGCCCTTGCAGCACCCAGATTTGGCACGGCCCCACAGCAGTGACACGTCCAGCTGGGGTGCTCAGCCCCATTGTCCTGGTGTCAGTTTGGGGATGGGGATCTTTGCCAATTTCATAATATTTGTCCATTGCTGTTGATGTGAGACAGGCAGCAGAGAGGAGCAGGGTATAAAAGCAGGAGAGAGGCTGAGCACATCAGTCTGGTCCAAGATGGCCAAGCTCACTCTGCTCACCGGTGAGTGCCGCTGCAAACTGGAGCTCTCTGCCCTCCTGGCCAGGGCTGCAGGCTCTGGCACCTCACTCTGCTGCTGGTGCAGGGGGGTGGGGGGACAGAACTGCTGCTCTCTCTTCTCTGTCACGGGTTTCACAATTTCCTTTGGGGAGGGAGGTTTCTCTTCTTTAGTGCTGCTGCAGTTGGGGATCTGTTGTGCTTTGAACATGGACAGAGTTCATTGCAGGCTGCAAATGGAATGTGCTTTCAAACTTGAATCTGAAAATGAAATGACTGCTTTGGCATCTCTTTGGGTTCCTTCCTATGCTATTGCCTGAAATAATTTGTCAAATTTTACTGGAAATGCTTGGACAAATTTTAGCCTCCTCTCTAGAAAAGCTCACCTGCCCCAGCTTGGGAGCAGAGTCTTGCAGAAGAGCTTTGCGTTTCTAAGAGCGAGCAGTGACCCCGGTGTTGTTTCCTTGTGCCCTGGCAGGCCTGGCGCTGCTGCTGAACGCCCAGCTCGGTAGGTGCTGCTCCCCTGGAGCAGCTGCTCGTGCAGGAGCTGCTCGCTGGCTCCGCGCTGCCTCCCGGGCAGGAAGGGCCCGTGTGGGGCAGCGAGCCCGGGGCAGGAGCTGAAGGGCAGCGGAGGCTCCGGGACCGAGCCCTCGGCAGGGCCAGAGGAGGAAGGCGCCGAGTCCGGGGCGGTGGCGGGGAGCCCGGCAGTGAGCGAGGGATCCCCAGCCCCGCTGGCCTTGCCCTGAGCTCCCGGCCCAGGCAGGGAGCCTGGCCCGGCCTGCCCCGGCAGCAGCGCGGGGATGCTGTGCCCGAGGGGCCGGGCTGTGCCCAGGGCACTGCAGGCCCCTCCATGGCCGGTGTCTCCCCACAGGCACTGCCTATGTGCTGACCTGTTACTTCACCAACTGGGCCCAGTACCGGCCTGGCGAGGGGAGATACACCCCTGAGAACATCGACCCCAACCTGTGCAGCCACCTGATCTACGCCTTTGCCGGCATGAACAACAATGAGATCACCACCTACGAGTGGAACGACGAGACCCTGTACAAGTCCTTCAATGGCCTCAAGAACCAGTGAGTGCCGGGAGCCTCGGGCAGGGCTGCTGCTCCCTCTGGGGCAGGGGGACAGCCCCGTCCCCTGAGCTGGGGACAGTGGCTCTGGGCGCTGCCCATGTGCTTTTGGCCTTTCCCACCAAAAGCACCCGAGCTGCAAAGGCCACAGTGACACCAAACGCTTGGGGTCACTCTGGTTCCTGTCCCTTCCTTGCAGGAACAGCAACCTGAAGACTCTTCTGGCCATTGGAGGATGGAATTTTGGCACACAGAAGTGAGTTCAAGTCAGCTCTCTGCAATAATGAGTCTCAGGAAAGGGAGGGAAAGGATGAAGGGACTCGATTCCAACCCCAATCCTGTTTTGCTGCTTGCCCAGGTTCACCACCATGGTCTCCACACCCCAGAACCGCCAGACCTTCATCAACTCCGTGGTCAGGTTCCTGCGCCAGTACGGATTTGACGGGCTGGACCTGGACTGGGAATACCCCGGCTCCAGGGGCAGCCCCGCCCAGGACAAGGCTCTCTTCACCGTCCTGGTTAAGGTGGGCTTGGCTCTGGCCTGTGAGCCCTGGGTGGCTGCAAAGCCCCATCCCAGAGCCCCCAGGTGATCGCTGTCCCTTGGATCCCTCAGGAACTGCTGGCAGCCTTCGAGCAGGAGGCCAGGCAGACCAACCGGCCCCGGCTCATGGTCACCGCCGCTGTGGCCGGAGGACTTTCCACCATCCAGGCTGGCTACGAGATTGCTGAGCTGGGCAAGTGAGTGGCAAGCCTGGGGTCCCTGGTGGCACTGGGGTGGGTTCCTGCCAGTGAAAGCTGCACAGAGCCCCTGAGGGAGCCCCGTGTGCAGGAGGAGCGGCCGTGGCCGGGGCTCTGGGGGTGAGCGGGCAGCCTCAGCTCCAGTGCCTCAGGTGAGGACACAGCCCCCGCTCCTGCAGGTACCTGGATTACATCCACGTGATGACCTACGACTTCCACGGGCCCTGGGATGGCTCCGCAGGCGAGAACAGCCCCCTGTTCAGCAGCGGCAGCACCCTCAGTGTTGTGAGTGCCTTTGGGGAGCCCAGGGCTCCTCTTCCCACAGCACATCCTGGCCCGTGCCTGAACCATGCTGGCTTTTCCAGGAATACGCCATGAACTACTGGAAGAACAACGGTGCCCCAGCTCAGAAGCTCCTGGTGGGATTCCCAACCTATGGGAAAACCTTCACCCTGCAGAACCCATCCAACACCGCCATCGGAGCCCCAACCTCTGGGCCTGGCCCGGCGGGACCCTACACCAGGGAGGCCGGGCTCTTGGCTTACTACGAGGTGTGTGTGGGACTCGTTCCTTGTACTGCAAGGGCAGCCTGGACACTGCTGGGTATTTCCAGAGCAGGATTCCTAACCTGGCTCACATTCCTTTCTCCCAGATCTGCACCTTCCTGAGCTCTGGAGCCACCCAGGCTTGGGATGCCCCTGAGGATGTTCCCTATGCCTACAAGGGCAGCGAATGGGTCGGCTACGACAACGTCAAGAGCTTCGGCCTCAAGGTCTG